AAGGCATCCGCCTACGAAGCAGGAGATTGCGGGTTCGAGTCCCGTCGGAGACTTTACGATAGTGAAGTCGTATACTTCGAATGATATGTCATTTGCGTTTTTGTAATTATGGTCTACTGACTTGCCTTGAAGGTCTATACACTCACTGTAAGCAGCTTGGGTCGGGGGGACTCATCCGTCGCCTACGGTGGCGTCATGGACGCAATCGACGCCGGCATTTTCTGCTATAGTTGCTCTAGCAAAGCATTTTCTTAGCTTGAAACCGCCTCTAGGCGCGCGTTGATTGCTTCAGGTCCTTGCGAAGCGAGGTGTTGCACACCCTTAGGAACAAGCAGAGACACCAGCTTCTTAAGCCCGTCTTACATGCCCTGACACAAATAGAAAGACTGATCCATCCTCACAGAGGATCAGGCGTAATGACTCAGGTGTAGGCTGACTACAAGTGCTACCAAGTGCAGCGGAGCTGCCGTAGCTCCCTCGCTGAGAGGAAGCTTGGTTAAGGTCGGCGACCTTCGCTCTGTACTTTGAACCAGTAGGAGTGTAGCGAATCGCAATCCAAGAGTAACGACAACCTTAACTCAAGGCTAATCAAATCGTCCGGTTAAAATGTAAGCTGTATTTCTCGGTTTTATTTGCGGCAAAGCTGCCTATATCGAAATCTATAGGTTTTCCTGATTAAATAGTAAAATCTTATTTGAGTATAACTAGTGGCTGTTCCAGCCACCTACTGACTTGTTATTACAAACTAATCACGCCATTTTGTGGCCACACCATATTGTGTAACCCACACCCTTCATACCAGGGCTCGTGAAACCCCGTGGGGTTACACGTACCCTGGTCACAGGGTGTGTGTCACATGAGATGTGCATGGTGTGACTGCACCCAAACAAGAATACGATATGTGGCTAGGTAGCCAGTAGTTATGCCTGTATTTAAATTTTACTAGATATTTTTTGTATATTTAGCAAAATCTAAACTTTTAAAGATTTGAAAAAATATATATATAAAATCAGTTTTGAATTTTAAAATGGAAGAGTAAATAGCCTTGGATAAGGCAATACTTACTCTTGGGGTAGGCGGATTGCGATCCGCAAACTCGTACTTGTTCTGAGTATAGAACGAGAGGTCGGTGACCTAAATTACGCTTCCCCAAGCGCTAAGCTACGGCAGCCCCGCTGCACTTGGTGGCACTTGTAGTCAATCTTCACCTGAGTTGTTTGAACTGATCCTCTGTGAGGATGAAGGAATTCTCCTCTTTGCCCCAGGGCAAGCAGGACAGGCTTAACAAGCTGATGTCCTTGCTTGGCCCTGAGGACGTGCAACACCTTGTAGCGCAAGGTCTCGAGGCCGCGTCTAGAGGCGTTTTCAAGTTACGGAAACGCGCTGCTAGAGCACCTGCAGCAGAAGATGTCTGCATCATTTGCGCCTATGACGCCACCGTTGGTGACGGATAATTTTCCCGCCTTAAGCCGCTCATGGTGAGCGTTAAGGTCTTTGAGGGGGGGGAAGAAAACCTGCTGTTCTGGGTGAGAGAGGTCGAGATGGCCATT